CATATTAATTATGTAGTTACTAAATCTAATTGTTAAATATATTTTGTTTGGAGGTTGACGACTGTAATGAACCGGTTGGTATTTGTTATCGATTTAGGATAATTGCTTAGTATTTCTGGTAATGATTCGTGAAGGTTGGGTTTTGTTCGGCATTCGGTTAGGATGTGGCTGATGGTGACTTGGACAACACATGATGGGTATATTGGAGGTTCTTCCTTGGTTATTAGGAAGCTGTGAGAAATTTGAGTGTGGCCGATTCTGAGTCTAGTTATTATGAGCTCAAATTTCTGTGGATTTTGATATGGAATTTCTAATTTACGGTATTATGTTTAATACGATTTAATTTTGTGTAGTAGAATGTCCACTTCTGGTGCCATTTAAGTTGAAATTTATATATCATAAGTGATCGTATGACACTGAATGGAATGATTTGTGTACGATGATAATGGGGATGTGATTACAGTTTTGGCTGAAAGATCGTTGAGTTCGTTTTCTTTTATGTCAGAGTGTCCGGGACCTGGAAAATGGAAACATAAGGAATAAGGATATTAAGATTGCGACATGGAGCATTTTGAGCTTATATAAAACAGGAGCGTGTCAAAACTTGGTAAATACATTAAAAGATTACAACATAGATGTAGCAGCATTACAAGTAATAAGACGGACAGGAACTGGGCAAATAAGAATGAATGATTATGTTATATATTGTAAAGGCTTAAACGACACACATCAGTTTGGAACAGCGCTGTACATAAAAATCTTCTGTCCTCCGTAAAAGAATTTAATYCAATATCTGAACGCGTGTGTTCTATACAATTTAATACAAAGCCCATGAATATGTTTATTATCAACGTGCACACGCCAACTGAAAACAAAGACGAATTCTATGAATAGGTAGCAACAATCTATGATGAAGCACGAGGAAAAACAATCAAAATCATAGTAGTTGACTGCAACGCTAAATTGGGAAAGGAAACATCATTTAGAACCACAATCGGAATGCATAGTGCACACGAGATAAGTAATAACAATGGACAGATTAATCAACTTGACCATATCCAGGAAAATKACTATTATGGCACAACGTTCCCGCATAAGGACATTCATAAATACACCTGGAAATCGCCTGATGGACGGACAGTGAATCAAATTGATCACGTACTTATAGATATAAAATTTATATCTAGCATAACGGATGTGAGGAACTGAGGAACTACCGTGTGGCAGACTGTGACAAGGATCATTTTATAGTTGTCTCCAGGTTTAGACTCAAACTAAACAAGAATTACTCGGTTGGGAAGGTGACAGCCAAATTCAACCTAGAAAATATAAAAACTAATAAAAGAAGGGAAAATTACATACAAGCAGTTGGTAAAGAGTTATCTGAGAGACGACAACATGAGGCCACGAATAATTGGAACATAGTACAGGAAGCCATTAAAATAGCCGCCAAAAACACGATTGGAGAGTTAAAAAGTCAAACGAAACCATGGTATAAATAATAGTACATGTAAGAACGMAGTTAAAGAACGGAACGAAGCAAGACTAAACTACCTCAGACTCCAAACGCAAGCGACAAAAGAAACTTTTGAATATGAGCGAAGGAAGTGCAAACGCATTAAACAAAAAAAGAACTTATATCAACGATATGTTACGTAACACTGAGCAACATTACTCAATTAGACAATTTTTCCAGAAGATCAAAAGATGTAAGACATTTAACCCAAGCCTGAAAGCTATTAGAGATGAGGATTATAAAACAATTGTAGTAATGGACCCTCAAGAGAAGACAACTAGATGGCGCGAATATTTTGAAGAACTACTAAACAGTGAACTACCAGAGTTACCAATACCTGAGTTGGCTGGCCATACAGCTGATGTTAGAGTGGAAGATCTATCTATAGAAGAAWCTAAAAGAGTCATCAATAGTCTAAAAGATTGGAAATTTCCAGGATTTGACGGAATTTCAGCATAATTAACTAAGTACGGAGGTGAGGAAATACATGAGACCATTCATGAAATCTGTAGTGAAGTATGGGAAACAGAMATTTTGCCAAATGACTGGAAAAAAGCCATAATCCCATTATATAAAAAGGTGACAAACTGTAATAACTACAGGGGAATGTTCTTACTGAACTCTGCATATAAAATATTTTCAAAGATTTTGCTAAAACTCCTTGAACCAATAGCCGAAAAATGCATTGGAGAATACCAGAAGTGGCTTTCGTAAGGGTAAGTCGACAATTGATCAGCTAGCAATAATGGGGCAGTTAATAGAAAAAAAAAATACGAATTTAGACAAAACATATGGCAAGTGTTTGTCGATTTCAAAAAAGCGTACGATAGCATACACCGTGATAGTCTTTACACTATTATGCAAGAGTTTGATTTCCCGAGAAAACTCATCGCTCTAACAAAAATGTGCATGAATGACACAAAATACCAAGCGAGAGTGGACCAAATGTTATCAGTGGAGTTTGAAGTCTTAATTTGGCTTGAAACAAGGGGACGCTTTCACTACTATTATTTTATAGCATTTGAGAAAATAATTCGTRATGTAATAACAACTTGGGAATTAATATTGGCACCACACAAATTGATATACTAGGATTTGCTGACGATTTAAACCTAATTGGAGATAGCATATGGAAATAGTTGAGCAGAAATCAAACACACTCATAGAAGGTGCTAAATCAGACGGGCTAAAAATAAATCAAGACAAAACGAAAGTAATGGAATTACTTCCMAATGGAGAAGTAAACGTTGTTATCAATGGCTATACCTTTGAGAAAATTAAAGAATTCAAGTGCCTAGGAACAACTACGATTATCAACAACAGTGATTGGAGTGCCGAAATCATAAGCCGTATAAGCAAGGCAGAGAGGGCTTTTTTCGCGTTACATAAATTTTTTAAATCAAAATTATTTTCCAGAAGAACTAAGACCAGATTGTACATGATCATAATAAGACTAATGGTAACCTATGGAAGTGAAATATGGCCCACTACTATACAATTACAAAAAAAGCTACTAGTTTTTGAATATAAAATACTGAGGAAGATTTGTGGTCCAATGTTTGATAGTGAACGAATCAAATATGCGTAGAAGGAAAAATACTGAACTAAGAGAAATCACTGAAGTTCCACTATTAACAAGCCACATCAAGTGTCAAAGACAATGGTTTGGTCATAACATTCGTAAAACAGAAACCACTAATACGAGAGCAGCATTTGAATGTCAACCGACGAGGAAAAGACCAAGAGGAAGGCCTAGAAAGCGATGGATGGATGGAATAAGGACTTAAAAACCCTGGAAGTGACTAATTGGGAAGATAGAGTACAGTATCGTGACTATTGGAGAACGGTGACGGTGGCGGCCAAAATTCTTAAAGAATTGTAAAGTCAAGAAGAAGAAGAAGAAGAGGGTCCGAGAATCTGCTCAGTGGAGAGAACTTTATCAAGCACAGAAGTACAAAGCCTTGTTAATCTGTTTTTTATACTTTGGTTTTTGTATTTATGCTTCACGATCTCTATGTATTCGGTCATTTCTGAGCATGTAATGTTGAAATTTGTAAGAMTTTATTGAATTTGGGTTGGATACGCTGAGAGAATTTTCAATTACTTATGTACTTGAACTGTTCATAATTTATTTTTTTGTTGGGTATTTCTTGAAATCGGGTTTTAGTGGGTTGACCATTTCATCAAGCTCTAAAGTTATATTTWAGACGGATTTATTGCGCTTTTTTTTTTTTTTTGCTAGTTGAGATGTTTTGGTTTAGAAGAAGGAGTTTCATTTGAGATAGTGTCTTGAGATGGAGATTTAGGGAAAGGCGAATCTACAGTTATACTTGATGAAGTTGAAGTGAGTGTGGGTGATTTTTCGTATCGGTTTTAATGGTAGTAAATTCTATGTTATCTTCCGCTGTTATTCCCATTGATAGTGGGACATCGAGGACAGACGGTTAAATTGAGGTTCCTGGAATGATGGTTGTTTATCAGATTTGTTGTAAACTGTAGCTTTATATATCTTGGTGTTTGGGGTTTCTGATGATGGATTTTTAAATTGTTTTGAGGTGTGACCTTTTAGCTTRCATAAGTATCAAAAAAGTGTCATCGAATAAAAAAATTCTGCGATGATTATTTTCGTGTTTAATTAGGAGGGATCTTGGAAGTTTTTGAAAATCTTCGGGATTTATGTAGACTTGGCACCTGAAACTGAGGATGTGTGCGAGTTCTATAATGCTGAATCCCACATTGATATGAGTAATACACTAATACATGATGACATTTGGATGTTGGGATCTTTTAAGTGTGATATGATGTCTTCGTTTGGTATGACGGGAGAGACATTAGAGATAATGATTCTTTTAGCCAGGTTTATTAATCGTCTGATTTTAATTGTCATCTGGTCGTTTAATGTGATACTAGAATGATTATCTATAAGAAAATCGACTGTGTTTTTGTCACTGAAGTATATATACAGAACTGGTTGTTCGATATGCGAGAAATGAATTTAATTTTTTTTGGARGTTTGCTGATTGAAATGTATTGTAATTGCATATCCAATCTGAGGTGTATTCATAGACATATAAAACAACATTGTTTTATATGTCTACGGGTCTATCGAATCGAAGAAGATTACATGTTCTTTTTTAGGCAAGGTAGCGTTGAGAGTGGTTTCAGCAAAARATTTTTACGGGTGGCGTATTTTTTGGATTCAATGTTGGTGTTTTGTTGGACTTATTGATGGAATTATGAATGGAGATATTTGTGTCGATGTTTTAATAAAATATCAACATAAAMATTGAGTGAATATTTTAAGTACCTAAGGTTATTAGTTGTTTGGTTACAATTCACTGAACTCTTTTAAATCCCACAAATGTTCATTATAATAATTTTAGCTTTTTTTTTTATTAAATTATAAGACAATACAACCATTTATATAGAAATAATATAAAAATGAATGAATAAATAATATCAAATATACTAAATTCAATTGTTATTAAATCATAGTTATATTTATATTAAAAAGTAAGAACACATTTAATMATTTCAGTTGTGCAATGATGAAATCATTTTCTTGCATTAGTTTGATTTGAGTAATTTTCAGGTTGAAAATACGAGCAATTTTAGGTTTTAATTTGATTAAATCATTTTTATCATCACCTTCATGAAGCAACACTGTTCCAGATTCTGAGCCAAACTTGACATTTATAAACCTAAATAAATATAAATATTAAAGAATAGGTAACACTAGTTAAACTAAATTTAAAATCTAAACAAAATGAATAAAATACAATTYAAAATATTTTTGGTTACTTATTAAAAAAATTAAATATGATTTTCTCTCTTTTAGGAAAAMCATAAGACCAATTGCATGTCATATAGCAGACCATAAAACTTGTAACAATTGTTGTATATGATTCAGGCATATTTATTTTAACCAATTTATTTTTTGTTCTAAATAAACAACTGATTAAACTTATTGAAAGAGATGACGGGGAATTAATATCAAATATTAAACTCAACAACTTTGCATAAGACTGATATAATTAGAGAACAAAATTATATCCATTAAAATGTTGCTAAATATGATGCAAATATATAACATAAGCATTAAACATTTTGACCAAAATAAAAATTATAGTTCATACATTTTTTTTTTTTATTAAATCCAAGCCAGAGTATATTATTAATACAGAATATAAGTAAACTGTATCATCAAATTATCTCTATAACAAAGTAAATCAATAAATTATGTATGTATTGATTTTATATATTTAGTCGAGTGGGTTCAATCAGAGATCAATCATAAACTGAGTAGTAACCATGTAAACAAAAAATACATACATTTTGATTATGAAAAAGATTTTTGTGATAATTTAAARTTAATTGTTGATCAATATTTAATCCTCGTTTTTATTTTAAAAAGTTATTTTTTAATAAAAGTGTATAAAATAAATAAATAATATGCTTTAATAACAAAATATGTCTTAGCACCTCAAATATGCTAAATCAAATGTTGGGTATGAAATCAGCTTGATTTGAAACACCCAAATTTGTAACCCTTATAGTTGTGCTTTGTGCATACACTTAATAACAATATGAAAATTGATTGAATTCATGTCTCTAATTATAAGAAAAGTATGGTTCAAAATTTAAGTTGCTGGTACTTTCAAAAATAATGTAGTATTTTTTTGTTATAAAATTTTTTTCTAATTCCATATATAAGAACAKATTAACGTTAAAATTTACTTACTGTGTAGTTGGTGATTTTGTTTGTTGAACCTGAACAGATTCAAAAGAATTATTCTTTTGCACTATAATTGTTTCATTCTTGATATTGTTGAGTAAATTGTTATCTAATATTTTTCCATCAGCAGATTTAATTATAAAATCAATCCCAAATAATCCAAAAACATTTTGTACCTGTAAAATATTTTTAACAAGTATTTTATAACTTAATTATATTTCACAAAATAAGTAGATATTCAGAAATGTTTTACATTTTATTTTATTAATGGCCATAGAATTAGGTGAACTATTTTTACTCAAATATAAATGACAATCTGTTTTTTGAATGCACGTTTACAAAGTAATTAATTTTTTTAACAATAACAATTATAATAAACATGAGGTTAACTATTTTATTAGTTTTGAATGTATACTGTATTCAGTGTTTATCATAAATACAAATTATACTAACCTACAAGGTTTAAAATTACTACATAGTCTAGTTATGAGTGTGCATTAGGTACTCAAGATAAAAGGTTAGATAAGATGAGAGCCGAGAGGTAAGCATTTTGAATAAAGATGAACAAAATTTATAAAACTTTTATAAAGGGCGGCAAAAAAGTTAATTTTTCAGGATAGATAAATGGTTTACTTAAGAGGATTACACACCCGCATGTGTTGTCTCCGTCTTACAAACGTAGAACATACTAAAATCAGTACTTGTGCAGGACAACTTTTCTCCCTCAGTATTTATAGAAGAATTATCACAAACCAATATTTTTTAATAATTAAATGAAAAAATAAAAAATAAATGTTTTTTCTTAAGCTGATTACTTTAATTATATTATGCTATGTTATTAGAAGAAAAAAAACGATGCTATGACACAAAATTTTTAGCTATGAGTGAAATTCAGATAATTCTATTATAAATACTGAGGGAGTAAAGTTGTCCCGCGCAAAACAGCTTTTGCTATGTTTTATGTTTGTAAGACAGATACAACATATGTGAGTGTGACATCTTCTAAATGAATACATTATTTTAGTATGAAAAACATTTTTAACAAAGTGCAGTTTACATTAAAACTTTTCACTAAACAAAATTAYAGAATCTAGAAGATACATTGCTAAGTATTGTAGTTAGAAAATGTTCTAAGAAATATTCGTTTCATATAAACACGTACCATACCAAATTTTCATTCAGCAGTTCCCGTCTTATTCCATTAGCTTAAAAGTTAAAGTGAGTGGATTTATTATGAAACTTGATGGTGAGAACATAATGTGTTTTGTTGGAATTTTTTTTACGACAACTCAGTTTGCATGTATAATAAATTTTAGAATAAAAACTCATAACTCACATAAAAACAGAATTATTGTAAAAACACTTTCAACAAAACACAGATAATGTTCTTACCATCAAATTTTATAATAGGTCTATTCACTCTAATTTTTGAGSTTGCGGAATAAGACGTGAACTGCTGAGTGTAAATTCGGTATGTTAAGCATTAAAGGATATAAAAATAAGACTCTGACAACAAATGCGGGTGTTGCGTTCTCTTAAGAGCCTACCCCAGTTTTTAATAATAAACATAATTACCAATAGGTAGCTTAAAAAATAATAAACTAGAGTATAACTGTATAAGTAATAATATTATCATTAAAGTTAGAATTTATATATTTATTTTTAAGTTGACTTTACATGACACTTACCTCTTTGGTTAAATTATGAACATCTAGTAAATTTTTACCAACAGGATTTTCAAGAAGAACTGTAACTGAATTTGAAGCACCATACCTGGGAGTTACTCCACGGAGTTCTACATTAACAAACCTTAAAAGGAATATATAATTTAAATAATTTTACCGTAGGAATGCTAATGAATTAATATAAAATATTTACTTGCAAACTGGCAATGGAATTGTATCGCTGTTCTCTTTTGTCAAAATAATTTTTAAATTTGATCCTTTAAGCTAAAAAAAATATATATTACATAATATATTTACATACAGTATATTTATTATTTATGTTAAGAGGTACAACYAAATATTTCATTAATTCAGTATCAATGATTTTCTTTTGAAATTAGGTTCAAAAGTTGAAATGTTAGCAAAATATATATTTTAATACTTCAATTCTTTTTCATTTCTCAAAAATCACATTTTAATATAATGTTTTACTGAAATATTTAGTGGTACCATTTAGTGTGAGGATATAAAATAAATGTGTGTTTTTCTTTTGCAGATTTTATTTCATGTAATTGAGTTATTATTTAAATCAAATTTAAAATTTGCTCTGATTAATTATGATTTGTTTAAGTTAAATTGTTTATATAAAATATAATTTATTACTGTCTGAGTTTCTTCAATTATCACGTTTCCCACTGCTGGCCCATCTATAAAAGGAACTTTTAATACATTTATTATAAAATCATTAAATTCCTTAGCTACTCTGGATAAATCTCCTATTGGACTTATGCTATAATAAACTGTTATTAAATCTGTAGGCACTAAATGAGCCTTTTTTCGCAGTTTTTGAATTCTGTTGATAATTTCACGAGCAGTTCCTTCATCCAACATATTTTGGTCTGGAGTAACATTTAATAAAACTAAAATCTGCAATAAATAAAAAAGTTTGTTAATAAAAATAATGTTTATTAATTATTAATTATAGATTTGTAAAATTTAAATTAAATTAATATTAATAAAAGATTTTATGTACTTACATCATTGTCTAATTGTGCTTCATATTTTTTAGCCATTTCTTCTGCTTCTGGTCCAGTAAAGTCGTATAATATTCTAAATTCAGTAGCATCTAATTCATATTCTAGAACTTTGAGAGATGGTTTCTTTGCATCATTTTCTTCAACTACAGCAGAAACTTCATTTTGCCATGCTTGAAGTTGTTCATTTGTCAATTCCTAAATAAATATTATATTTATAAATTATATTATGTATACAAAATTAGGTTATAGAATCATACACGAATAGCTGCTGTAACTCTTTTGAAATCAGACTTTAATCTGGAACCTAATGTTTTATGATCCGGTTCTGCTCGAAGTTTAACATATCTACTTTTGTTTTTTGTGAAAGTAATGGTTTTCACATTTAATTCCTTTTCAATATAATCACGAAATTCTTCGATGTTCTCAATAATTTTAGGATCATCAGCAATGATTTTTAAATCCGGAAGTGGATACTAATAGAAATTATATTAGAATTTTGTATAAAATATAATAAGTCTTAAATTAATAATTACTTTAACTGGTATTGTCTTTCGATCTCTCATTACTCTGCCCATTTCAATAATATTTTGCATATTAGAAACACTCTGTTCAATATTTTTATCAATCAAATGTTCTCTATATAAAATTAAATAATAAAAATAGAATATATTTTTTTTATCAAGAAATAAATTGGTCTTAATAAACGAAATAACTTACTGAACTATTGGTACCATATGGAAATGTACACTACGTTCCTCAAGATTTTCGATTTTCTTTAAATTTTGATACATTAATTCACTTATAAATGGTGTATATGGAGCCATTAAGCAGACCATGGTCATTAAGACATGATACAACGTATCTAAAGAATGTTGCCATTCTGCATGACCACATTCGCCCTTGAGCCTTTGACGATTTAATCGAACATACCAGTTAGTCAACATATCAATAAATTTCACAAGTCTTGGTGCAACTGTATAAAGACGATATGCTGCCATTTCTCGACGTATGAATGCAATCAATGATTGTGTCCAAGATGTTATCCATCGGTCCATTTTATTTTCACTAGGTGCTGAATAATAGTTTTTATTTGGCTTGTACATATTTCCCTATTGGTCAAAAACAGTTAATTTAATAAGTATATGATATATTTATTACATAACATGATATATTTACGGAAGAATCACGAATGTTTTGTATGAAAAATCGATAGGCATTATACCAAGGCAGAAATAAGTCCTTCAATATTTCTTTGACTCCATCTTCTTTGAATCTTAAGTTTTCTGCTCTTACCACAGGTGAATTAATAAGATATAAACGTAAAGCATCAGCTCCAAATTTGTTGACAACCTAAATAGTTTATATGAATAACTGATTTTTAAAATAATGTTAACTAATTGTTTGATAAATATGAATTTATTTTATAAAATATGTATCCACACTTAGATTTTTTTTAAGTATATCAAATTTGTATTTTGTAACATTAATAAAGGTACAGTAGAATACGCTTAATTGGGACATATTGGGTGGTGACCTATTTGTCCCTATTATCTGACTGCCCCAATTAACCAAATAATTTTTTTTTTTTGCAGTTTGATCATGCATATGGAAAATAAAACAAATAATATTAGGTTAYCTACATTTATAATTCATACATTGATTATTAAAATTATTATTTCGAAAATAATATTTTTTATTAATTTTATTTCTATTATTATTAATTTTGTGTATGTATGACATTCTGTGGTTTTGTCTATAACTTTATTTTGTGGTTAATATGTTCACGTTGAAACCATTTAGTAATGCATACTATTACTTGTCCGTGAAAGCCGATTTGTCCCCATTAAGCGAATTCTACTGTAATATAATATAATTTTAAGGATCCTGATTCTTAAAACCTTGATAAAGAAACCTTTATCAATAATACAATTATAAATAAATAATACATAATATGTATTGAAAATAAATATAGAAGTTTAAAATAATAAATACTGAAATAATACTTAATAATACTGTAATATTATTGGAATATTAGTGGTTTTATATAACRAATTATATATTCTGTGTGTATACAATAGTGTGCTTAAATCGGATTAAAAAATAAGTGTGATAATTACATTGGTATGTTAGAAATTTTTAAAAATATACCAATTATTTTCTTTAACTAAATAATGTAATTAAAAATTATCTTATTTCAACTAAAATTTTTAATTAATAAATATTTAATATGTACATATTGCATTGTTTGGACCAAGTTTAGTTCTATATAAAATATCACATCATGACATAATATAATAACTCATTACAATCATTACTTAAAGTACTAAATAAATAATTGATAATGAATACTCTACCTCCATTGGGTCTGGGTAATTTTTTTTACGTTTGGACATTTTCTGTCCATCAGAAGCTAGTACAAGACCATTTGCTATGAGATTCTTGAATGGCGGTTTATTAAATAATGCTGTAGATATTACTAACAATGTGTAAAACCTAAAAATATTAAGATAATATATCATTTAATTTTCATATACTGATTTGTTCGTATGCACTGAATTTTAAATATAAATTTTTGATACGTTTAGTGTCTTACCATCCTCTAGTCTGATCTATTCCTTCAGCAATAAAATCTGCTGGAAAATTTTCAGAAAATTCTTTTCTATTTTCAAATGGATAATGTTGTTGTGCATAGGGCATAGAACCCGATTCAAACCAACAATCAAATACTTCAGTAATTCGATGCAATGGTGGGAAACCAGGCCTAGCTGATGGAATTGTCAATTTATCAACTCTAAAATAATGATACGTCTTATTAGTTTATAGAAAAATAATACATTTTCAACTAAAAATATTTAGATACTAATGACAAATTGCATAAAAATTGATTAGTTTGATGGCTTGTCAAAAAAAATGTGTAAGGACTGTTCATTTTAGATATTTTTCCAATTTGCTTATGATTTTGATGTTTTAGTATGCTATCTACCATCATTTTGAAGAATGACATCAACACATATTTAGTCTCTACAAATGTTAATTGTCATTTTATAATACAATATTTTACTTTGTCACTATTTTTTCATGTGGTACTGTGTAGTTATGTATACGTATTTGGGATTTCAATAAAAGCTTTATCTTAATTGCAAAATAATAAAGTATATATAATATATCCAAGTATATTATACCATGGGAGTATACAGTAGATACAGCATAAAGACATAGGTAGATATCATACTAAACTATCATAACATTACAGTAAATAATATACTTATGGTAGATTGTAGATAGACATATTAGACGAGTACTATTTTATTTAGATATAAAGCAATTGTTTATGTGACCTAGCATAAAAAATGTTATTGTAAAACATTTCTATAAAATACATGAAAGAATTTTAACATTTTAGAATAAAATTAAAAATCAAAACAGATATTACGTTTCTCGGTGAAGATCATTTACAAGAACTCCTGTCATTTTATGTAATTGTTCGATACTACTTATGCAAACAACTTCTTTCCCATCATCAGATACCCAAAGTGGTATAGGAGTACCCCAGTAACGATTACGACTGATTGCCCAATCTCGAGCATCTTTTAACCAGTTTCCAAAGCGTTTTTCCTTAACAAAATTTGGGACCCTAAAATGAAAAAAAAAGTATTGAGCAATCAAAATTAAATATGTACTTATGAACTATTTATTACCAATATGTAGCACTATTGCAAGCTAAGAGATCTTGACTCATATGTTGTACCCGAACAAACCATGATGGTACAGCTTTATAAATAAGTGGAGTTTCAGATCGCCAACAAAATGGATAACTGTGTTTAATTGAAGAAGAATTTACAAGCCTTCCTGATTCTTTTAGATATTTAATAATGTTTTTATCAGCATCCTATAAAATAAAAAAATAAATAATTTTAGTCATAAACAAATACTTAAAATAGTTTATGTTAAATTTAATATTTACTTTAACATATTGCCCTTCAAAATCACTGACAGGAAGAACAAATTTACCACTTTCATCAACAGGACAAATGATATCTTGATCTCTAGTAATTACTCCAGCAGCTAAGCATACTCTATAATCATCTTCTCCAAAATATGGAGCTTGATGAACGATACCGGTACCAGATTCAGCAGATACATATCCATCAGTTAATACAATAAAAGCAGTATCCYGACACTGTGAATAACATTATGATTAATAAGTTATAACCACTAGAATTAATTAAAATTTACATGTTCGAAATATGGAAAAAGAGGTTTGTATTTTAATCCTTTTAATTTTTCTCCTGGAAATTTGTCTAAGATAGTATAATTTTCTTTTTTCTTAAATAAAGTTTCTAATCGAGCTTCCATCAGAATAAATATATTTTCATCTAAATCTTTAACTTTTACATATATCAATGTAGGATTTACACACAATGCCAGATTACTCGGTAAAGTCCAAGGTGTAGTCGTCCAAGCCACCAAAGAAACTGAAGGATCATTTTCAAGAGCAAAACTAACTATAACTAAAATTAAAAAATAGACATAAAATATTAATACAATTAAATAAATATATAGTTATTATAGTTGTTATTTATTATTAACCTGCAGGATCTACAACTTCCTTGTAATTTTGACCAGATTCAAAGTTGGATAATGGCGTACTACAAGCAGTTGAAAATGGCATAACTTTAACACCACGGTATACCATACCTTTATTCCAAAGCTCACTGAACACCCACCATACACTTTCCATAAACCATGGATATAATGTCTTATAATCATTTTTAAAATCTAAAAATCAAGAAATTTAATTTAATTCATTTCGAAACACACATTATTTTATAATTGTAATACCAATCCATCGTCCTAATCTAGTGACAATAGTCTCCCAATCACTAGCATAACGCATAACAATTTTTCTACATTCCGCATTATATTTATCAATACCCATTTTAGCAACATCTTCTGGTCCTTTTATGTCTAAAAGCTTATCAATTTCAAATTCCTGAAAGCAATAAAACATTTTTAAGTTAATTATACAATACAAAAAAGTTAAAAAATAATACCTTAATCATAACCTAACATTAAATATGAAAATATTTTGAGTACAATAATATCCAACCAAACAAACATGTTATTAGGTAATTATTATGAAATAAACTTGAAATTGTTAATCTTAGATAAGGTTAATTGTTATAATTATCATCTAAAAGTATTTTATATTATATATTACCACTGGTAAGCCATGTGTATCCCATCCAAATCGGCGTTCAACATGATGACCAGTTTGATGTGCATATCGAGTAACAACATCTTTGATTGCACCAGCTAATATGTGGCCATAATGAGGAAGTCCAGTGGCAAATGGTGGTCCATCATAAAAGGAAAACCTATACAAAATGTTAATACATTTCAATATTATATGTATTTATTAATTTAAATATACAACCTCAACAAAATATTCTAAATCTCAGTTAAATAATAGGTATATAACATAAAAACAATACAGTTAACAATTTGATCGAAAAAAGAATAAATTATAAAATATACTTCTCTTAAATAACAAAGTAACTGTGTAACATATTTGTATTTGAATATAAATTAAATATTTTAAGGGGAAAAAATATGAATTGGTAAATCAGTCGATTGAATCTAGTACCTAGGTGAAGTATAAAAAGTAATAAACCAAAAACTTTAGTTAATTAGGTAACAAGTTAAAAAAAAAATAATTTTCCAAATAAGATCTTACAAAACAAGTTTTTATATCAACAATATTTAGAGCATATAGAACAATCAGTTAAATATCTATTTCATTTGACAATTTATGATTATGTCCTCAATAATTTATTATTTTCTATTGATTGTAAAATTATTTTTATACTACCTAATAATTTATAATTATATTCTTCTACCTTCTTTTTGTYCACACTAATTTAATCAGTATAAATAGATGTTAACTTGTGTTTCAATGATATCAGAATAATAGATATGTTAATTTAATTCATTTCAAATATTGTTGCTCAGCATTCTTAATAATATTATTGAATAGTAATATTATGGTCACAGTTATGCTTACAAGTATACTAAAAACTCTGAATCATTATTACCTGGGCTTTCCTTTGGATTGTCTAAGACATTCCTGAAACACATCAGTTTCTTTCCAAAACTCTAATATTTTTTCTTCTTCCTTTGGGAAATTTAAGTACTCTACGGCCGGTTCGACCATTATTCCAAGAATTCGGCGATTAGTAAACAAAATCAAGTCATCAACTACCTAAGGTATTTTATTAATTCCAAACAACGTCGAGTTGAACAGTAACAGCGAGAAAACGCCAACAAGCCACAAGGAGACCGCGCTACYGCAATATTCTAAGATCTATGATAAATACCAMGATTGATAAAATATAATAACTGTGATAACTGATAACTACTATCAATAGTCAGTACCATTCCGCGGTTGTGGTACAGACGAATGGCGCCATCAGATAACATGTCGAGTAAGTTGTACCACAAAAGAATAGATTTCGTGTTTGCATCATCATAGACATAATAGGTAAATTAAATAATTAATATACAATATATTATAATGTATTAGCTGCCATAGAAAACTCGCTGTGATGGATGGAGGAGGCTGGAGACGACAATGTCGTTGTAAATTGTAATTCATTTTCTAACAAATAAAAGCCGTTCCTGTTGTAGATATTTATTCATTTTTCATCTATATATATCTGTGCACACCGAGTTTAGAATTTTGGATCATATCCTTTGGAAGGAGCTATTTACCGATATATTGAAGCACATATGGCATACAACTACATTAGCGACGTGTCTCGAATCTCGAACATTGATGTTTGATRTATGCATGCGCGAAGCAAACGGTCGCATATACATATTTAGACGTCGACCGCTGATTGATATCTCGMGCGTTTTTTCAAAATAAAAATTAAATATTAACAACTGTTATATTATTATATTTAAAATAAATTACATTCATAAAAATTCACTGTTTTTAAAAGTAAGTCCGGTACATTATTTATAATGATATTTACATTAATATAATTGAAAATAAAAATTCAATAATKATAATAAAATTACTAAGTAGGTATAATGTATAGCATACACCTATTAACTAATTTTAATATTGTTAATAGGTCTATGATGTATAGTCATATAAAAAACAAGTTAACATGTAATATATAAATAACAATATAAATACAATCATCTATTTAGTAAAACATTAAGTATTTAGGTATAATATACAGATGTTATGGTTAATATTTTTTGAATTACAACAAAATGTTTAAGCTTTTTTTTTACTATGTTGTAGTATAGGTACTTACACCTATAACTTCATTTAACAGTTGCAAGAGTAAGATACCTACAAGTATAGCAAGTAAAACCAAGTAATGGTTTATAATGTTTTTAAGAATACGACCAAATAGTATAGGTACCGTGGTACAGCAACGTCATCGGCGAATGCGGTAAATTTCTAAAAAAAACCTCTAAGACTTTATAAAATAAGAATAGGTACCTATAAATGTATAAATCTATGTCAACAGCCAATTTAATATAATATTCTGTTCGGGTGATTGAATAATTTCATAAAAATCAGTATGGSTACTTCCAATTCGGAGCGGCAAAGATGATGCGCGGTTATAGTGCGCTATAATTATGAAAATGAAAATGAGAAAGGTACACGGGCACCCGTATGCAAATTTATTTTAAGTAATAAAAATAAAAATTTAGAAAAATTATAATGTAAGAATTCACACAACAGGTTAGACTGCAGTCCGTAATTTMCAAATGTATTTACTAAGAACTAATTATTGTGATTATATGTTATAAACAATCCAACTCGAATTTAGTTAATGATAATCGAAATTATGAGGCAATGGATCGAATTTGACAAAATTTACTAAAATCTCCAAAATTTTAAAATTATTTTGTAGTTTTTGTARTTCAAAACGTATGAAACATTTAATTTTCATATCTAAGGAATAAAATCTTTTTTCGTCAGAACAAATTTGGAAATTGAAGAGGTACATGGTTCCTTATAAGTAGTTGCGTACAAGTGTTGCTACTACTACAGGACTTGGTCTATTCTTAAATACTTAAGTAGAAGTTGTAGTATTTATCATGTAATTTATACCTATGCTAGCCAAAAATATATTATTATAATATGATATACACTTACAATACATAATATTGAATAATCAATAATAGTTCAATTATATTTGTTGAGATCTGAGAAGTTTTAAAAAGTTTTTTGAGATTAGCGGATAAGACAAGAACTTCAGTATTTCAATATCATTATTCATTAATTATATTTATGGTTTTTTTAAATCTTAAATTGTTTATAATAATATAGTGTTGATATACCTATAGTAGTTAAAATTATAAATTTAAATATGATAATCCATGTTATTGATTCTTAACTGTTAAGTAAGCAATTACATACTCTTATAAAGTTATAACTAAACAAAAATCAAATAATTGCTATAAATTGTCCAGTTAAATATTATTTTTTATTGAGGAGGAGGGGCATACAAGTCAAAAATACTTTATGTTTGTTTGAAACATTATTTTATGTGCGGGAAACACCGCGTGTCTGACACTAACGAAAAGCTGACACGTTTGAATCAACAAATATTTAATCAACTGCATAGTTACAACTTATAATACATAAAATAGGTCTCATGTACAAAAGCAGAAAAAAAATGATGTATGGATAACTCAAATGATTTGAGTTCGTATCATACGCTTAAAGTTGAAATTTGTTATTTTTTTTATTACCTTTTAAGGCAATAAAAACGCTTTGATGTCTTAGATCAGCATTTTTTTAGTAGGAAATTGAATCTAATATTGTTACTATTGGCGTTCGCTCAGCTATGGTACGCGCCATAGTGGATTTTTTTGTAACTACTCAAACGAGATAACTACCGGTGATAGTTTACAAATAGTGAATTTGCAGGGTAATTATTATGGTTATTATTAATATAAAATTATTGATTTATTAACTATTATGTACAATCACGATAATCTGACGTATAAAATAAACAATGTATTTTTGTTATAAAAATATTATTCTAATAGAAATTCAATTTTAGAATTGTATGTATTGTTTAAATAAAATATATTTAAAGCACACATTTAGGTTATAACGCTTGCGAAATTATAATATGTATATTGTAAAAAATTAAAATATCAACCCATTATGATTGAAAAATGAAAATATTTAACAATTTTCAAAACATTTCCATTATATCACGGTATACGCGTATATCGCCGCTATAGACGGTTACCACGTTTGAGATAGACCACGCTCACCGTTCAAATGCCAATATAAGCAGGGGTTCCTAATTGTTTTCAAAAGTGTCGGGAAAAATAAAAAAAAAAAAGTCATAAAATAAATAATAAGGAATAATGAGAATTGTTATACTCAACTAAAAAACAAAAGGTACGATGGGGTTGTTTTACCTCTGACTCTCTAATAATCAAGATTATTTTGTTCTGGCATAATATTCTGTGTAAATCTTTGAATTTTCATTCAAAATAATCTTTATTTTATTTTCAATATTTAATTCTTTCTCTCTATACCAGGGATGTCCATTGCTATAAGAGGAAAACATTTGGCTATAAAATAATAATTTATGTGTAACTTATTAACTTCTAATGTAACCAAATGTAACGCATTTTATTATAAATGCAACCATGTTCAGTAAACATATACGTAGATAGCATTATTTACTATACAGACAGTTCATAAATATTTATTTTAGCCGTTAGGCATTCGCTTAAAGTTTAATCTTTTGTATGACGTTGCTTACGCATCAGTGTCATATGAAAATATTTTTTACGAGTGTAAGAATATATTTACGGTTTAAGATCAAGTCTGGATTAAYGATGCCATTATCATGAAGTTTTTAAATAATATTATCGTGATTCCATTACTTTTTAATGTAATCCATATCGTCCATTCTATCGACCAGGACTATAATACAGGTTTTTATATTATTTTATTTTTTAATGATGATACACGATATGATTATTATTTGTTCAAACCAGTATAAAATAAAATAAAATCATGATTTAAATTTTCTTAAAAAAGAAGTAACTGAAAAATACCTATTAGCATGAGATGTTATATATTATTTGGTATTTAAATTAAAAAAATACATATTAAATTAATTTGAAGGGCATATTTTTGTGTTTTACCTTTTAGTTTATGATATCTAACGCATTTTTTTAARAGTAATTTTCATGGTATTTAGTACATTAAATCTAAGCCTTAGCAATTATATTAGTAGGTATATACTTACTAATTTATAAAAATACACTTTAGGGTCAGTCTGAATTTCTTTTTACATTATTTTTTTCGCACAATATCAGGTAGTTTTTTTTTATTCACGCTGGACACAAAATAATATTTTAAAGTATACAAATAACACATCAAGAGAAATGAACGAGAATAAATAAGCTTCGCATTCTATACGTCATTTTTTCTACTACTCGTAGTTTTATTGCATATTGTAATTTATTTATATTTATAGACAGAATTCCAAAATCTGTATACAGAAGACAGGACTGCGTCCCGATTGTGTACGTAACCGGTTCTCACTATGAAGTTGGATATATGATCGTAAGTAAATTGCACAATGTTGTGCTATTCTAATTGGTTTATATAATTTGTACRAGTATAGTACCTGTAGTAAGAATAGTAAGATGTTCTATGGGTCTCTTTTTTTTACGCTATGTTCTTTTATTTTATTAAACTTTGAGCTTTTCACTCATTTTTAGAAAGCAATCTTGATTTAATTCTGATTATTATTATATATGTGCATGAAAAAAAACCCTATATATTATAATTTTTGAATAATGATGAGCGTCGAGTACTAATGAACAATTGTCAGCAACAACCATGGCCTATAGGGTTAGGTGTAATCATGAACCTGACTGACCATCGTCCTTTTCAAAAACCCACCTTATCTAACGCTTGAACGTTATCTCAAAGATATTTTTAGAAGTATAACAGTTATTAAGCCAAAATTGTTTTTCCCTTTTATTTTTTTTATAAAATATATGGTTGTACATTAATGATGATGTGATCACGGTATATTATATTGTGTTGTATGAGACCTTATTTTTGTGTACACGCAGGGACAGACGTTCGGKAAAGTTATACGAGATTTTGAGGACAAATATGCACCACTTAAAGAGTATTTAGAAATTTATGAAACATCTGCGGATGGAAGACGAATATACAATGAATTTCTAGAAAATACTGACAAGCATTTTCCCCAATACTTGGTCGAGCTTAAAGGAATGGCCATCGGCGCTGACGTTC